GTGGACTGTTACAGGACATTAGATATATGGTCCTATGTAATCTATATGACCTAATATCCTATATAGAGTGTAAGCTCTTTCAGTGACTTTCCACATATTGTTTGTTTCACTACAGGATGGGGACATCATGGTGCTTTATATAGGAAACAAGATATACCACGTATATTTCAACAGGCAGAAGATCTATTGGGATGTGTCTTGTTTTTCTTACAGAAAGTGGTATGTAGTCCACATGTAGTGGTGAAGAAACCATTTCAAGCAGTGTGCTGCTTTTTGCATCTTTTCTTCCATCCTGGGAATAAATGGGGCATATTCTCATTCAAGAGCCCTAGGAAACAGCTGTTTATATTACAGATGAATGGGCCCCAACCACTTGTGCCGGCATAGGAATGTACTGCATCATATATATGATATTATGTCTTTTTTCATATAGGCATAGAGGCATGCTTTTCTTTTTGACGCATACTGTGCTTGCTGCATTGCATACATGTGATACTTATATCCATAGTATAATTTTTTGAAATTCCCTGGTTGGGATATAAAAAACCATTATGGTAGTAGCTTTAGTCTACATTAATATAACCTGTTTTATGGTATACCTATGGTATAATTTTTGGATACACCTCCTTGGGAAGTGTTCACCTATGCGTCTGTGCTACAGGGACTTTAGACTCTTGTAGTCATTTTCTCTGTTGCACATGCATTCAGACCGGTCTTGGTGTCATTTTATATGGTTTTAGGTCTGTGTGTATTGTCTCTTACTGAGGTGATGGTAAACCAGGGCGACTGCCCACATGTCATATTTATATGTGTAATAAAGCATGAAATTTTTGGAAATTTTTCTGAGTGTCACATTCTGTTCATAATGTAGCCGCTTTTTCTGTGAATCTCTTTTCACAAATCCCCTTTTTTTGCTACTTGGACAGCACCCTGCCAACCGAGGTAGACAATCCCCTTGACTACTGGGCAACGAAACTTGACCTTTGGCCCCAACTAGCTGAATTTGCCCTTGAAAGGCTGTCATGCCCGGCCAGTAGCGTGCATCGGAGCGCGTGTTTAGTGCGGCAGGAGGTATTGTAACTCCGCGGAGGACACGACTGTCCACCCAAAGTGTGGAGAGACTCACGTTTGTGAAAAATGAATCAGGCGTGGATTAGTCTGGATTTCAAACCACCAGTTCCTGACACAACTGACTAAATCCGCCATGAATCATGCCCCAAAACATGTTATTTATTTTTAATATAGGCCTCTGTATGGCCTTCAATTTAAGCTGCTTACGCTTCGCCACTCTGCCATGGGCCCCTGTACCTCCTCCTCTTGCTGCTGCCAGGTCCAGAGTGTGTCATGGGTCCCTGTACGGCCTCCCATTGCTGCTGTCTCCATCGCCACACTCTGCCATGTGCCACTTTCAGGTCTCCTCACACTGCTGGTGGGTTCCATTTTGTCATAGGGTGCTGGCAGATTGTAGATTACGGGCCTCCCATTGCTGCTGCCAGGCCCGTAATCTGCCATGGGCCCCCGTACCGACTCCTCATGCTGCTGCCAGGCCCGTAATCTGTCATGGGCCCCTGTACCGCCTCCTCATGCTGCTGCCAGTCCAGAGTGTGTCATGGGTCCCTGTACGGCCTCCCATTGCTGCTGTCTCCATCGCCACACTCTGCCATGTGCCACTTTCAGGTCTCCTCACACTGCTGGTGGGTTCCATTTTGTCATAGAGTGCTGGCAGATTACGGGCTCCCATTGCTGCTGCCAGGCCCGTAATCTGCCATGGGCCCCCGTACCGACTCCTCATGCTGCTGCCAGGCCCGTAATCTGTCATGGGGCCCCTGTACCGCCTCCTCATGCTGCTGCCAGGTCCAGAGTGTGTCATGGGTCCCTGTACGGCCTCCCATTGCTGCTGTCTCCATCGCCACACTCTGCCATGTGCCACTTTCAGGTCTCCTCACACTGCTGGTGGGTTCCATTTTGTCATAGGGTGCTGTATGGCCTCCCATTGCTGCTGCCAGGCCCGTAATCTGCCATGGGCCCCCGTACCGACTCCTCATGCTGCTGCCAGGCCCGTAATCTGTCATGGGCCCCTGTACCGCCTCCTCATGCTGCTGCCAGGTCCAGAGTGTGTCATGGGTCCCTGTACGGCCTCCCATTGCTGCTGCCAGGCCCGTAATCTGCCATGGGCCCCCGTACCGACTCCTCATGCTGCTGCTGCCAGGCCCGTAATCTGTCATGGGCCCCTGTACCGCCTCCTCATGCTGCTGCCAGGTCCAGAGTGTGTCATGGGTCCCTGTACGGCCTCCCATTGCTGCTGCCAGGCCCGTAATCTGCCATGGGCCCCCGTACCGACTCCTCATGCTGCTGCCAGGCCCGTAATCTGTCATGGGCCCCTGTACCGCCTCCTCATGCTGCTGCCAGGTCCAGAGTGTGTCATGGGTCCCTGTACAGCCTCCCATTGCTGCTGTCTCCATCGCCACACTCTGCCATGTGCCACTTTCAGGTCTCCTCACACTGCTGGTGGGTTCCATTTTGTCATAGGGTGCTGTATGGCCTCCCATTGCTGCTGCCAGGCCCGTAATCTGCCATGGGCCCCCGTACCGACTCCTCATGCTGCTGCCAGGCCCGTAATCTGTCATGGGCCCCTGTACCGCCTCCTCATGCTGCTGCCAGGTCCAGAGTGTGTCATGGGTCCCTGTACGGCCTCCCATTGCTGCTGTCTCCATCGCCACACTCTGCCATGTGCCACTTTCAGGTCTCCTCACACTGCTGGTGGGTTCCATTTTGTGATAGGGTGCTGTATGGCCGCCCATTGCTGCTGCCAGGCCCGTAATCTGCCATGGGCCCCCGTACCGACTCCTCATGCTGCTGCCAGGCCCGTAATCTGTCATGGGCCCCTGTACCGCCTTCCTCATGCTGCTGCCAGGTCCAGAGTGTGTCATGGGTCCCTGTACGGCCCCCCATTGCTGCTGTCTCCATCGCCACACTCTGCCATGTGCCACTTTCAGGTCTCCTCACACTGCTGGCGGGTTCCATTTTTTCAAAGGGTGCTGTATGGCCTCCCATTGCTGCTGCCTCCACCGCCACACTGTGGCTCCACACTCTGGTTTTGGCCCCGTGACTGCCCAAATGAGTGAAGTGTGCGGTGATTCTAAGATCGACGGCACTCATCTGCATGTCATACTGACTGACAGTATTGTTTCTCTTCCCCAGCAGACTCCAAGGGCATTTAAATTAAAGGTGCAGTGTTCTGCACTAATATAAAGGCTCTCTGAAGCCTAGAAACACCCTTTTTATAAGTTAAATTCGCAGCGAATATATTCGACTCGAATCGAATTTATTCCGCTAATTCGCCGAATCAGCCGAATCGAATTTTTTGAATATTTCGCTCATCTCTAAATACAAGGATAGAAGTTGCTTATTGATAAAATTTCCAGAACACAAAGGCTGGAGGAGCTGGAATCCATGTGGTGCATTATGCTGTTTTCGTCCAGCCTGAGATATACTGGTTGCGCAATTGAATCGGTGAGTGTGTGTCCATAACAAGGTGGCCGGCTGCAATTTTGTTGATTAATGCACAGCCGGCTGACAAGAGGCTTCAAAGAATCTGTTGTTTTACACCACACACCACACATTTTAACCACTTCTGCACAGCCCTATATCAGACATACTGCTACAGGGCAGCACTGGTGCACAAAATCATGCATATATACGTGATTTTTCAGTTCCAGGTAGTGGGCACATGGGCCCTACCCATGCCGCCATTCGTGGCCTCGGCTGTCAATCACTGAGTCCCCGCTAGTGATTCTTCACCGGCACCCGGTGATCGCCATCTCCATCGGGGGGGGGTGCTGTGCATACTTCTGCACACTGCTTACAGTGGAAAACACACACAGAACACAGTGAAACAGCACGCAGTTAACCCTTTGACCACCCCATGTGTTAACCCCTTCCTGCCCACTGTCATTAGTACAGTGTCAGGGCTTTTTATTAGCACTGATCACTGTATTGGTGGCACTGGGGATGTCAGTGACACCAAGTCAGTTCCTCCCCGTGTCAGAATGCCTGCCACAGCCCTGCAGACCCGCTATAGGTCACTGATCGCCGCCATTACTAGTAAAAAAAAATAATATATATACCACCATTTGTAAATGCTATAAGTTTCATGTAAACCAATTAATTTACCCATATTGGGATTTTTCTTAGCAAAGACATGTAGCCTAAATTTATGATGAAATTTGATTTTTTTAAAAAAAATTTTACTGGACATGTTTAACCGCCTCCCGCCCGCCATAGAGTACAATGACAGGTTCAAGGCAGCTCTCTTGTTCTGGGAGGACGTCATATGATATCCTTCCACTCTAACCATGCATGCGTGGCTCCGGGAGGTGCGCAGCGATCGGTGGTGCGCTGTGTCCCTCAAACACAGCGGATCACCGATCAACGGAAAGGGCCGAAGATGTCGGCTCGGTCATGTGATCAGCTGTGTCCAATCACAGCTGGTCACATGTAAACAGGGAAACGCTGACAGCTCGTGAGGAGAGGAGAGCTGGTAATCGGCATTCCTCGGAGGGGACATGTACGCTGATCATCAAGCCCTGATGATCAGTGTGCCCTGATGATCTGTGTAGCCCCAGCAGTGCCACCTGTTCATGTCCAGCAGTGCCAGCTATCAGTGCTTATCAGTGCCACCTGCCAGTGCCCATCAGTGCCACATTTCAGTGCCTACCAGTCTACATCAATGCCACATATCAGTGCCCATCTGAGCTGCCTTTCAGTGTCACCCATCAGTGCCAGTCAGTGCCACCTATCAATGCCAGTCAGTGCCACCTATCAGTGCTGCCGATCAGTGCCACCTATCAGTGCCAGTCAGTGCCGCCTATCAGTGCTGCCCATCAGTGTGCATCAGTGCCACCTATCAGTGCCTGTCAGTGCTGCCTATCAGTGCCACCTAATAGTGCCAGTCAGTGCCACCTAACAGTGCCAGTCAGTGCTGCCTATCAGTGCCAGTCAGTGCCGCCTATCATTGCCATATATGAGTGCTGCCTTTCAGTGATGCCTGTCAATGCCCATCAGTGATGCCTGTCAATGCCCATCAGTGCCACCTACCAGTGCCTCCTCATCAGTGCCCATCAGTGCCACCTATCAGTGTCCATCAGTGCAGCCTATCAGTGTCCATCAATACAGCCTCATTAGTGCACATCAGTGAAGGAGAACAATCATTTATTTACAAAATGTTATAACAAAAACTAAGAAAAAACGTTTTTTTTTTACAATTTTCTGTGGTTTTTGGTTTGTTTAAGAAAAAATAAAAAACCCCGAGGTGATTAAATACCACCAAAAGAAAGCTCTATCCGTCTCAAAAAAATGATAGAAATTTCATATGGGTACAGTGTTGCATGACCGCGCAATTGTCATTCAAAGTGTGACAGCGCTGAACGCTGGAAATTGGCCTGGGCAGGACGGGGTTATAAGTGCCCTGTAGGCTAGTGCTTAATAGCAAAAAATCAAAAATATTATTTTTTTTCTCAAAATTGTCGGTCTTTTTTTGTGTATAGCTCAAAAAAACACACAGGCAATCAAATACCACGAAAAAATATCTCTATTTGTGGGGAAAAGGATGTAAATTTCAATTGGGTAAAGTGTTGCATGACCGCGCAATTGTCAGTTAAATTAATGCACGAATGACGAATGACAGGGTCCCCAGCGTTAAGCGGGACCCATATGGGATTGCATAAAGGGATAACGTATTCTTTCCCACTCTGTTAGGTTGCCAGTGAAGTCTGCGTGGCAACAGTTGCTGACTGGCCCGGTTTGGTGGGCATCTGCAGCCCCGCGCTTTTCCCCATATAAAAGCAGCTACTCACAAGCCCCAGCAGCTACTGAGGGACGGGGACCGCGGCTCACTGAAGACTGGGAACCTGGACATGGAAAGCCTCCTTCGCGGCCTCATTGAAGCAGAGATTTCTGGTGGTGAGGAGTGGCCTCAGAGGTGTTTAGAGGAGAATTCTACCCCTCTCCTTCCTTCCATCCAAGAGCAGGAGATTTCTGAAAAAATGGCTGCCAAAACTCCGGGCATGCGCAGTGCAACCCGGCAATCTAAGAGGAAAAGGCAGAGGAAGGACTGTTCACTTCCTTCACTCAGCAGTAAGGCTCCATGTACACTGCAGCTGAACTCACGTTTAGGAGCTTTTCTGCATTTTTTTTTTCAGCAACCCTGAACTCTCCCTAATGTTTTCCTAGGTGTCCATGTACACATAGACGTTTACAGTCATTTACAGGCAGTTGAGTTTACAGTCGTTTTTTTTAACGCACCAAACTTGTATTCAGGAATAGATTTTATCAGCGTTTCAAATGCCAAACACTTGTAAATGTGTGTAAATGTGGTTAACCGCGTTTATAAGCATTTGCGTTTGGAAAATTTTTTAACTCTTCCATTTCCAGATACTATCCAGAGCCTTCTTTCATTATGAAAAATGTATGCAAAGCGTTTTCCCGGTACTCAAATGGACCTGGTACACCATACTTTGAGGTTTCACATGAAAGAAAATATGTTAGACACTGCTGCAATAATTTCTGCACAGAAATCAGCTGGAACACATCCAAACACACCACAAAAAAAAATGCTAATCTCAACACATACTGCTCTCTCTGCTTCTGCTCTCTATTCCTCTCAAAATGTCTGAAATAATTTTTTACTGTTTTTCAATGCATTCTGGGGATTTTGGACGGTCTCCTGAGGTTATCTTTAAAAACGCAAATGCTCATAAACACGGTATGCAAACGCGGCTAAACAGATGTTTTTTAACCTGCGTTTTCCAGCAGTCAGTTTCCATCATTCACAAGTGTCCCGTGTACATGGAACCTAACAGTACTCCCTCAAGTTCAGTCAGGGAAATGTCTTCATTTACATATGAGGATGCCACTCAGTCTGCTGTTATAGCGGCATCTAGTGGGCAAATAGCAAATTCTTGTTCTGGTGAGATTTTGGCCAATTCTAAAGTTAATGAATTAAGTGTTATAGGGAATTCTATTGCGAATACTTTGGATGGTATAATATATAAAATAAATTTAGGGCACAGGGTTTTGGTGCATTAAATAATAACTCTTCTCAAAATTCTTCTCAAATTTCTGGTTCTGACCCTATTGCGTCAATTGCATCTTTGGAAAAAAAATATGTTGGATGTTAGTACAATTTGGCAAAGGCAAAAAGTGTCTAAGGAAAATATGCCTGGCACACCTCATAATAAGCCACCTGTCCCTGTTCCTTCCTCATTCTTATTGGTTAATCCGCTATTACTTCCAATACATTTTCAGGCAGTTTCTAAGCCATTTATAGCCGGAACATGCCTTAAAGTAGCACTTACATGTGAAATATCTCCCTTAGGTGTTCACCTGCCCCCTCAGTAAAAGAAAACATTTGGAAGGGAGATTTTGTGGATATTTTATCTTTATTACCAGTGTCCAAGGAATTTTTGCTTAAAATGGAAAAAAAGGGGAAGACAGAACAGAAGAAGATAGGAGATGGGCTATACCTAAAACATTTTAAAACTGGCTTCAGGCTTTTTGTATATACGCTGCTGTTTTGGGTGAACATTTCCCAGAGTGATGCTCAGGCTTGTTTCAACATTTGGATATTGTAGCAGAGGCTTACCGACACTTTGGTGGTACAGCCTGGTATACGTATGATGAAAATTTTAGACTGAAGCTTTCAGTCCATTCATCTTTACATTGGGAATTAAAGATGTTGGTTTATGGTTGAATTTAATGTTAGCACAAAGATCTTTAACCCCACAAAAGCCTAACATCAATCAGAATTCTTTTCGTAAAGGATTCTGTTTTGCATTTAACGAAAGCCAGTGTCGATTCCTATCTAACTGTAGATACAAAAATGAGCATTCATACTGCAATGGGTCACACCCAAGCACGTATGGAGGGGGGGGGCGAGAGGAGCCCCAAAGAACGGGAAGACAGAGTCTGGCTGCGTTGACCATATGCATGGCCAAAGATTTATAGTATTGTCTCCTCGGAAGGGAAGAATGGTGGAGAAGAAACTGAGCTGGGGACAGAACCACGGGTAAGGTCGTCACAGATACTACAAGCCTATGGACCTCCTGCCAGAATGGTTGAATGCTCGGACAGGACCACCAAATGTGAAGAAATGATCCATCTGAAGTCCCACATCTCCAACAACTGTTAGGATAGGAGGGGGTTGAAATTAGAGATTCTCAAAGGGTTCGGTACCATCTCAAAGCCAGTTTGTAGCCTTTTTCCTGCGTCGAGATGTTAAGGGAGCATTTATGAGAATACCTGAATATTAATTCCCAGTCGGAATCCAACATATTATCTCCTAAGTCTCTGTTCCAAGCACGGCATGAGGGTAGAGAGTTATAGGCCCTACTCTCAACCAGGAATGGATAGATCTCCGATATCAGATGCTTACGCGGTTCACCTTTAGAGCATATAGATTCAAAAGGAGTAAGAGGACGGGTCCAATTATGGAAAGGTTTATGCGAAAGCAGAAAGTGCCTTATCTGCAAATAGGCCCAGAAAGGAAATTCATGGGTACCCAGGCTTTCACGCAGTTTGTGAAATGGTTTCACCTTGCCTTCGTGGAGAAAGTGTTTAGCTAAAATCTGGTCATGTGGCCCGTGTTTAGATAAGAAATCTTTATGCATTCCGGGGGGTAAGTCAGGATTGAGTCAAATGGAGGTTAAGAGATTCGGTGACTTGGAGATGGATGCAGATTTGCAAGTCATGCGGAAAGTTTTCAAGGTAGGCCCCACCAAAGGGTGAGTGAGAAGGACTTGAGGTGTATGCTTCGGTGGAAGCCATGGGATCGAAATCAGGGGTGTGGGTGAGAAGGCATTTTCTAATTGTACCCAGTCTTTAGAGGCAGTGTGGATGTGCAAATCCACTACACAGGAGAGGTGACATGCCCAGTAGTAACGGTGAAGGTCAGGGAGCCCGATGCCACCATTAAGTTTAGGAAGAGTCAATTGTGCTGTCCCATGGACTGTGGACATTTTTTGCACTAAAGAGACACTGCTTTTATGTTTTCTTTTCACTAAAGAGATACTTTGTTTCATGTGTATATTTTATTTGTATTTAAATCTGTAACACTTTTTTAATAGTGTGTTAAAGTTGTGGTAAACCTCAGACATTAAATATGAACAAAACATATCCCTCTATAATGTGTATTTGTCTCAATCCAGAGCACTAAGTGTCCTTTCTGTCTGTTGCCTCGTTCCTTTACTTTCAGCATGAGTTACGTCTGATGAGTTTTGCTGACACCAAGAGAAAAAAGGTGACAGGGAGGAAGCTGCAGCTGATGTACAGCCTAAGCTCTGTTCCTTGTGCTTCCTTCAACTCTCAGAGCTCTTCTCACTAAGTGTAACTTCAGCTCCCCACCCCCTAAATTCTGCACTTTGAATAGATGCAGGGGACAGACTGCTACAGATAAACAGGTACAACTTATGTAGGAGGATTTGTGTATCACCTGAGGCCAGTCACTTCACTGGTTTCATGTAAGGGCTTACATTAAGAGCTATACGCATGTGGAACTAGCCTTATTTACACTGTAATTATCTAATCAAATGTAAACTAAAATCCTATTTCCCATAAAGCATCATAAAATAGCCTGTGAAAAAGGCTGACTTTAGATGCCACCTTCACACATGCTTACATATTTGGTTCAATGATCCACTAAGAGATATCAATGTTCCTTTCCATGAGCTGTGTGCTTGATCAGCATGGTGAAATGGGATAACACAGATATTAAGTTTTATACTGTTCATACTCATAAGAAATCCAGAAGCTTTGATAACTTTTAATTGAAAACGAAATTGCATG